CTTCTGGAAATTGTCAAACTAAAAATTATGCTTGAAACTTTTAAAGGGTAGATGTTTAAACAATGTATATCAGAATCGAGAAGAAACCTGGCAAGGAGCAAAATTTGACCCCATCTTCAGTGAACTCAGCTTTTCTCTTGATGCGATCCCACACAAAATTTCCAAGCATATCCATAATATCCGTGACTAGAACAAAAAGTGTGGGATAAAATTGCAAAACAGACGTATCCTTCAGAAGCTTAGCAACCTAAAAAAACCAACTAAGCTTTCAAATAATCACTCTACAACAAAGGAGAGAATTTTTAGCTTCGTATTATAATTCAAACTTATTATAAGAAATGGATTGTTCTTTATCACTCACTCCTAGTCTAGAAATAATTACAAAGAATGATAATCAAAGTTTTGGGAGGAGGTTCTCTCTCTCCCTCCCAAAAGTTTGAAAACATTTGATACCATTACTACCAGAAATACATTGTAACAACCATAAAGTTTTTACATTTTTTGTTCCTTCTTCCTTTTCATATATCAATAAAAAGTTTTCAAAAAAAAAAAACAACCTTCACAGATAAAAAAAAAACAAAAAGTTTATCATTGTAACTACCAAAAAGTTTTGGGAGGATTTTGTAATTTGTGCAAACAAGTAGAATAATATAAAAAGATTCAAAGATGCATGGTCATGCGCACAGCGGAATATGAAATGATCAAAAAGTAGTACGCTTTCAAGCAAAACTAACCTTCACAGATATCTTCAAGCACGTCACACGATCATTTGCATTCCAAGCACGAACTAAGTCATCTTTGAATTCACGCAAGCAATAGATATAATCTTGTCGTGTAATGACCTTTACTTCATTTTCTGTAACGTTTTGAGGATTGTCAAGTTCCTCCGAATGCATGCCAGTTGAAGATCTCTCATATGCTGCCACCACAAGCCATACAATGTGTAAGTGTAACCTGGAAAAATATGAGCTTCTGTAGCAGATGTCATTTTATGCCGATGATATGGTATCAAACTGACCAATGAAATCAAAAATGACAATTGGAAAATAACAAAAATAGGTGCCATACTTTTCTCAACTTTTATTATTGCAGTGGACACCTATAATCAAGGGAAAAAGACCAATCATTACCTACTATTAGATAAATTAAAATCGAAATTGAAAATTTATCATTTCATGCCGAACTTTGCACAATTTAACGGTTCAGAAATTATAATCAGCTATATTGAAACAACCATCATTTCATTACATGTAAAGAGCTTAGTTTCCCCTACATAAATTACAAATCATAAACATATATAGCAGCAATATTTAGAAGTTTAAAATAAGTAAAAGGAGACATGAAAAGGTTCTTACTGAAGTAGTTGAGACCAATTTAGAGGCAGGAAATCTCTGCGTCATGAACCTTGTGAAAGAGGACCATTCCTTTTCTGCTGGTAGAGAGGCAACTTCTTCAGACGACACTCCTGTGGCAGGAGAACTTTCTATATCTTCCAAATGGGCGCCTGAAGTTGTTGCATTATCATCTGACGCTCTCAGTGGATCATCATATTTGACAATTTCATCATTGGCAATCTTATTCCCCTGATCACCCTCCCCACAACGCCATAACGCAGCAGTCAGCAAATTAATTAACTATTAACGCGGATAAATCTCCACAGAACTTCCAGATACACGATGAATTGATCGAAGACAATGAAAATTTGTTCTTACCAGCCAGCTGCGTGAAATTCAATAACTAAGAACCGAAAGAAATGAAGTATTTGTACCTGCTTCGAAGATAAAAGAGAAAGAGGATGAGTTTCTGCTCGCTTGCGATGAAGCAAAAACAGCTCTGCTTCAGCACTGTAATCCCGAGGTCTGAACTCCATTGGAATCTTCAGATTCCAATTTTTCTCGCTTCTAACTTTTAAATCTTGCTGTAATATCGATCCCTCGTCCGCAATCGGACTCTTTTTCTAAGCAGTGGGAGATATACGTGTTGAGCTACGTTCTTCATTTGCACTTTAACTCTGCCTCTCTGTAGATTTTTTTTTTTTTTTAATAATGTATGGAACTCCAAATTATATTCTTAAAATTTTTATTTTTATTTTTTTTAATTCTGACATAAATGGCTCTCGTCAAAAAGTAATCTTATCAAGAAAGTGATGTCTTACTCTATTACTTCTAGGGAACAAAACAAGAGAACAGTAGCCTGACAAAAGGTTCGGTCTGAATCGAGTGCCCCATTTAGGCACTAAAAAAAATCCAGATATTAATAAGGTGAATACCCCAATCTATTCAATGCTAGGCATAATGAGTATTAGGACCTCAACAAAATGATCGTTCGTCCTATCTTATGAACAACTATAAGGTGTATGAAGTTTCATATTTTATTTTTTAAGTGACGATAAACATTCCATTTAACTTAAGCAAAGTGTGTGACATATGACTCTGTTGTGCAAAATTATTCCTGGTGGTGATAAACCAGTTTTTCAATTTTGAGGTTATGAGTTCAAGTCTCCATTATATCACTTTTTCTTTTCCAGTAGAAATGTTATATTAAAATTTATCTTCTCTTCTAAAATAAAATAACTATTAATTCAAAAAAAAATAGACACCTTTTCTTTTCTTTGTTAGTACAAATGTTATATTAAAAATTATTTTCTCTTTTAAACAAATTTAAATAAATTTTATCTCTTCTAAAATAAAAATAACTACTAATTATAAAAAATTAGAAAACATAAAAATTAACGATTTAGCTTAGAAATTATAAAAAAATTGAAGCTTGAGGATAACCAACAATATGAATATAAACGATACCCTCATTTGCTTAAAAAGAAAAAGATATAATAGGTTGAACATACATCTCTTTGATAAAATTTTGAAGTTTTACTACTCAAACCAATGGAAAATAGATTTGAGTATGATGTTAATAAAATCTGCAATAACCTCCTAAGAAAGAAGTGATGAACGGACCCTTTTTTTAAATGAGTACAACAAGTGAGATAGGGTGATTTAACTCATGACCTTTTGGTCAAAGACAGATGCCAATTAAGCGATGAACTAACTGTCATATTGTGCAAACTAAAGACTGCTGAATCTATTAGCATTCATCTGAATGTGAGATTAAACCACCTGCCAAGTAGATCTGACATAGAAAATGAATAATAGATCTAGATTATATGAAACTCTCTCTAATTCATGGCTCATCATAATTGGTTCAATAGTATTTAGATTACCAAATTGCTTAAAGAAATATGAGTTGAGCATCTTTTAAAGCCTTTACTGTTGAACCATTATCGCTATAATGCATTAGATGTAGAGTTTCCTTAAAGTAAGTCAAAGCAAAATCCTTTGGCATTCACAAGATATGGGAGCTTAGAACCATAAATATCAACTTGTTAGAACTAACACACATAGACAAATAAACAGATAAACAACAATAAAATTTGAAGAGTTGCCTGGTTACCATTTTAATAATGTAAATGGTGATAATGCTCCTTGGTCTCCCAGACCAACAAGCAAGTCCAAAATCTTCGTAAAGATATGAACTTTTCATTGATAAATGAAAAGAAACAAAATTGTTCAATGATACAAACTCCATTTGGAGTGAGAAAAGATAAAAGAGATAAGAAAAGAGTCTACAACGTGAAGAAACATTAATAAAAGAGAGTTATAAATGCCTTCCAGTTCATACAAAGCATACTAAGAGAATAAGAGGAGAAAAGATCGGAAAAAACACACCATTGTGAAGCTTTGAACCTGACCATTGAAAAGGTCCAAAAGATAATGATTCTTTCATTTAAAAACCTTTTGATTTCTTTCAAACTACAATTATGAGATTAGAGCTTTTAGTCCATTAGCACAAAGTAGATTAGCTTTAGAGTTAACCTGCAACCCAATAATACGTTGGAAAATAATTTGGGAAACTTCCAAATCCCACACCCACGAGACATTGAACAATGAGCGAAAAACAACTCCCAACAAGTAGCTGCGTAACTACAAGAGAATAAAACATGCCTTTAAGTCTCCCCACTGGCCATACACATCAAACACATCGAAGGTTGCATCAACATAGAGGATATTTTATTTTGAAGTGTCTCTAAAGTGTTAACTTTGCCCATAATAAGAATCCAAGTGGGAAAATCAACTCTCTTAGGACAATTAGAATTCCATAGGGCAGAGAAAACTTCCTTAGGAATATTAGAGACGAAATTTTCAGACTTACACAATAAACGAATTGAAAATATGTCCGAGGCCTCCGAACACCACCACCGAATATTGTCTAATTCATTGAGGAAGATTGAAGAAAGTAAGGATAAGAGAATTGCCATTTCTATAACTTCCTCATCCTTCAAAAGAGCCTTATGGCCAACCTCCAATAAGAACCAATAATGTCCCAAGCATACGTCTACAACCACAATAGAAGGATCAGAAGAGATCCTAAAGATGGATGGAAATCTATCCTAATTTGGGCAGACATCTCCATCCCATAAATGATATCAAAATAGACTTCTTTTACCATTCCGAACTCTAAGATGGGAAAACGACTCCACCTGTTATAAGCTTTCGAGATATTGTGCCCAAGACTTCTACCTGAACCAGCCAACTTAGGCAAAGTGCTCCAATCCCATAATCAAAACCGTAAATACTAGTCACCACCAACTCCAACTGACTTACAGTTAATAGTTAAGGATGTCAAGCTCTTTATTTGCATAGTATGAATATAAAATCAATTATATTATATAACTTCACTTGTGGTGGTACTAATATACAATAACCAACACAATGAATAGAATAATGGAATTTGTCTCTAATTTTGTTTTCTCCCTCCCTTTAAATTTATGTACCTTTTTTTTACTAATTTTTTTTTCAATCTCTCCTCCCTATAATTGTTCATCTCTCTCTAGCTTTTTACTCTAAAATCTTTCGTCCCTTTTCAAACTTTTTTTCCCTCTTGCAAACTATATATTCTCTAAAATTTGTCCCATTTTAACTTTTAGCATTGTTCTGAATAGATCCTTAATTTAAAGAATTCAAATTTGTATTTAATAGTATATTTTCAAATTTTAAAATGTGATATCATAAATAAAATCCTATTACCTAAAAGAATTTTGACAAATTTAATACCGTAAAATTGATGTCATATTATTTTATAAAACTTACAATACAGGCTTACGAACAAACTTGGAAAAATCTAGAATTTGGTTAAGATTTGAAACTAAAAATATTAAAATAGTGTCATATTTTGTTAAGTATCTATGAATTTATACTCCACTTTTATTGTATTAAAAAAATGGAATCATAATAGAAAGTAGATCAAATTTAAAAGGTTTTTTTTCTTTTTAAAGATCAAATTTGGAAGCAGTAATTTGAACAAATAACGTTGGCGTATAATGGTAGTTATAATTACACATTTAAACTCTAAAAAATTATGTGAATGTGAAAATCGGCCCTTGTAGACCGATCCACGTATAGAATGGAGAAGAAATGACTTAAAAATGGAATATGAAATTGGAATAAAATATAAACTAAATTAAAAAAAAACTCTTAAACTTTATATTTGTTATAAAATACTCAAGTGATTTTAAAAGTTTCATACTATTTTTAGATAGCAAAAATTCATTAATATGTTGAATGGAAAGTCGATGGGACCGAATTTGGAATGATGCGGAAATTATCACGACGACTAACATCCAAATTTTAACTTAAAATCAATAAAAATTTTAACTTCTCTATTGTCTATAAAAATATTAGCTAATTTCTTTCACATTTCCTCTATTTCCGGACTTAATTCCGATAAGTTTTTGCATTTACTGTTTGTCCAAAATATTAATATTCCGGTAAAAAGGTAAAGTACTATGTTATTTTTATTTCATTTATTTCAGGGTTACTCAATCCACATGAACGGTCGAGTGAACCCATAAACCCCTGCACCAGCGGTGGCTACCTTCTTATCTTAAACCCAGAGCCTATTTCTTTGTGCAGAGCACAATTTCTCCATCATGAACACCATTTCATCCACACCTTCCACCAAATTCTATCCTTACAAATCTAATTTTCTTCTTCTAACTCACTCCCGTTCCACGCCTCAATCCATTGCTCTGTCTGGGAAACTAAAATTGAACATAATTTGCTCAGCATCGGAGCACCCACAACATGCGGAACCAGCGAAGCACCAGCAGTCGAGGAAGCCGAAAAGCGTATCGGATGGCGAAAAAAGGGTCGACCCAGTTGGATTTCTCACCAAACTCGGCATTTCTCACAAGCAATTCGCTCAGTATCTCCGTGAAAGGTAATTTTGCCTTGGTTTTGTTTCGTTTTGTCTCTCTGTGATTATGGGTTTGGAAATGGGAGCTGAATCGAGTATGGTACGATCATCACTCATGGAACTTCTGTTGAAGAGATTCTACAAGTGTTCTATTTGATTCTACACGCGTTTGTGGTTTATTATTTTCTTTTATCTATTGAAGAGTGAAGATTTTTGTTGGGATTGTAGATATAAATCGTTGAAAGACCTGAAGGATGAAATTTTCAATCGTCATGCAAATCTCCAGGACCTGTCATCTGGGTTAGTTCTGTATTTTTATTTTATTTTAATTTTTTTTATAACTAGGAGTCGGAGCTTTGCCCACTTGTATTCAGGCATGCTCGCCCCAAGATCCGATCTGGGAAGATATCAAAAGTTTTTGGTATTAAGCTCACTGGAAGGTTCGAGCTTGAGACCTCTAAATCTTTTGATATCCGTGTGTCTAAGTCAGCTTGCACGCACCTAAACTAACCACGGGACAACCGCATTACTCTACTACATTTGGTTGACAAAAAAAATGCTCACGTGAGCCTGACACTTTGTGATATTTTGTATATAGATTTATGTTTTTAGGTATGCATCGCCATGTGGAACATCGAGTTGATTTTATGGAATGGGCTCCAGGTTTGGATTTCATGCTCTCACCTTTCCTGCTCTAGAGAATTTACGTTGCTGGAATATGTGTGATGAACATCATGTTGTAAATGCAAAGCCATCTATATT